CTATTTGCCTAGGCTGCTTTGGGCCATGTTGTTACAGTTTGATCTCTGTTGGGGTTGGAGACTGAGTGGCTAAGGTCAATCATTCACATGCTGCATGCTTATGTGATTGACCCCCAATAAAAACTCTGGATAGTAAGGTTCAAGGGAACATTCTTGGTTGGCAATATTTTGGATGTGTTGGCCACATGCTGTTGCTGGGAGAATGAAGTCCCGTCCATGTGACTCCACTGGGAGAGGACAACGGAAAGCTTGTATTGGGTTTCTTCTGGAATCTGTTCTGTGTTCCTTTGACCTGTTCCAGATTTTACTCTGCATTCTTCCACTGCAGTAAACCACAAGCAAGAGCAAAATGGCTTTTCTGTGTTCTGGGTCCTAGTGAATCACTTAACACGAGAGTGGTCGAGTAGAAAGAACCAAGGCTGTGAGAGAGGGGAGCATCTGGGGCGAGAGAGGAAAGAACTGGACTCTTTAGATCCTTATGGATCATGGTAAAGAAAGGCATGGTTCCACTCGTGGGCTTGATCCCAGTGTGGCTACCTCACTTAATTCTATTCTGCAGCTCTGTGTCGCGTCCTGCCCCAGCTCGATCTCATTCAGAATACCTACAGAAAACATGCAAATAAACACATTTTCTTTGGGTGGGGAGTGGGGCACATAAAACCTACTGAAGGAGATGAGCAGTGTTACTCATGGGATGATTGCATTGATTGTTATTTTCCATAGAGCCACTGGATTTGGAGCAGAGCCAACTATGTAATGTATATTAGTAAAGAGGAGACGGTGTGGTTATTATAAAAGGTGCGGGGAAAATTCCAGAACTGTTTGCCATACCGAAGGCCACAATGGGAAAATTCAGAGGTGATATCACTAATTTGTTTCGTGATCCCATATCCACGGTGACAGAATAAGTCAAGGGAAAAATAGGGTGAGACAGTGGTTGAAGCCATTTTAGCAATTTACTGGCACAAAGGACTCAGTTATCAAGGTTGCAAATAAGTCATCAACTTCAGGCATGGACGTGCACCAAATTGTTTCTCAAATTTTTGCTTGCTTGGACAAGCATGCTTTCTCAGGAGTATGCCTTGAATCCATAATAGCTGGAGAAAAGCTGGGAGGTAATGGAAGATGTGCTTATGTAACTCATTTCTAAATCAACGGGGGACTATATTTTTGATGGTGTTAGAGGCTTGAGGCAGAAGCCTGTTTGGGATGGTGACAGTCACAGTGACGGGCAAACTCCCAAGTCAGAGCTGTGCTGATGAATAATAGCTGGGCAGCAGTCCGGGAAGCCGTGCCATCAGAGGGCTCCACGGACAGTCCCCTGAGCCCAAATGCCTCCATTCTGGGGGACACTAGATGCTACTATATATTTTCTAATTACAACGCGGTGTCTCCGCTCTGCTCTCAAGAGGGAAGGAGGTTTATTGTTAGCTCCAACTATGAATCTTGTTCTCCTCTGTGACTTTGAGTTCAGTTACTTAAACTCGCTAGGTCTCAGTTTACTTCTCTGTGCATTGGTTGTCGTAACAGTTCTTTGTTCAGAGGGTTAAAAGTTTTATTTTCTGAGGAGTGAATGAGGTAATGCCTATAAAGCAGTTGGCCCACTGCCTCACCTGCATTAACGGGTCAGATGACAACAACGAAACCAGAACAGGTATTAGGGTTTTTAATAAATCATCAGATATAAGAAGACATTTTCAGGGCTGCATGCCAGTCAACACATGCCTCAAGACTGTCATGCTGGGTGAGGACATCTGCATGCTCTGAATTAAGTGATAGTGGATGTGACAGGACTACCCCACGAAAATGTCACTATTTTGGCCTTCAGGGCTCAGGATGCATTTTAAGTAGCAGCACGTGATTCAGGTGCTGTTGACTTCATTGCCAGGTGCAGGTTGTTCCCTGGCCTCCTGAGAAGATGAAGCGATTGGTCCCTGGAGGGGACTGGATAAGATGGCCCATGAGGCCAAGCTCTGAGGATGAATCTAGACTCTTCGATGTCCCTGGAACCGGGGGAGTCTTGGCAGGTGGATGTCTGATCCAAGAAGCATGAGCCCTGCACTCATGAGACCCTTTAGGTTTGTATCCCAGCTCCTTCAATGCAAGTGTGGGTTTTGGCATGTCATTCATCTCCCTAAATCTGTCACCTCATCTATAAAAATGAGAAAATACCTGGCTTGCAGTATTGTTGCAAGGATCAAATAATATAAAGCAACGTATGTAGACCACCAGCTCCATGGTAAGTGCTTCGTAAGCAATGGTGATTATGATCATATAAGCAAACAAATATGGTCATGACAAAGTGTGAAATGCATTAGTGGAAACGGCCATTGTTTTGTGACACAATGATCCTGTGAAACCAGGAATAATGGCAGGATACAGGTAGCGGAATTTTTGACTTGAAGCTTCGCAAATGGGTGCAAATCATTCTGAGAAACAGTTTATGATTTGTCCCAGGTTCATCACTGCCCTGGGGAGACATGATTTTGGGGAGAATGGGTGGGTAGAGGCTAGGGCGTGCACAAGAAGCAGATCTCCTCAACCAGGGGGAGAGCAGTGATGTGGAGAGGATTCCTGCATGTTATGAATAGCTGTAAGGGTCAAGCTGACCAGGTCCAAGGGAGGCAAGCACCTGCACGTATGATTGGGCCTATGTTCCCACTCTAGTCCTCTGTGGTGTAGAACATCTGCATGCTCTAAATTAGGTAATAGTGGATGTGACAGAACTGCCCCACAGTAGTTTCACTATTTGGCCTTTGGTGCTCGGGCTGTGCATTGGGACACACGGGCTGTGGGGCAGTCATAGAACTAAGAACCCAGAAGCACAAGGGCATCCTGCCCAGATGGGGCATCCTGTGGGGGAAGTAGAGGTGGGAGAACCAGCTAGGGTGGAATCCTCAAGGGTGTGGCTGGTTCTCCTCCCATCCTGACACCAGTTGTTTCTGTACATAAACAGCTTTCTGGGAAAGGAACCTTAGAAATGATTTAGGATGGAGCCCATTGTTCCTACAAGGAACAATGATTTCTGGACAGAAAAACTTCCATTCAGCACAGAACCTTGATCATGTACCAGATGATAAATATGAATGGAACTTTAAAAAAAATAGGGGTGGGTGTTGTTGTCTTAGTGATGCTCACTAGCAGTTTATTGAGACTAGAACCCTCCTGAATATAGAAAGTTAGTTGTGTCTATCACCATGTTGGAAATGTGGCCTGGGCAAGGCTGAGGGACTGCGGATGACTGCCAGAAGTGGTTGGAGAGGGAATGGTGTTTGAGTCGACCCTTTCTCCCCTCCTAAGACGTGTGCATCCACAGAGAGATGCCTGAGTCTGCTCCCTCTTCTACTCCCATAGGAAAGGACAGCGGATGACAGCAGCGGCTGCTGATTGGTCTGATGCAGTGGTTCTCACTGGGGCAGATGTTATTCAACCAGAAAACATTTGGCCATGTCTATCTAGAGACATCTTTGGTTGTCACGACTGGTGGGTTACTGGCCAGGAATGCTGCTAGGCATCCTCCAGTGCACAGCTTCCCACAATAGAGAATTTCTAGCCCCAATTATCAGTGGTGCTGAGACTGGGGAACTCAGGTCTGATGCGATACAAGTGGGCTTTTTAGATGGCGGAGGGTTGGTTCTCATGCCCATCATCTCAGCGCCGGATTAAATGGGGATGGGTCGTGGCTAATCTGTCATCCCTCACTGGTGGACCAACACGGAAGAGGAGGTGTGAGAAGGTAAGGAAATCTGGGGGAGGAATGGGTGCAAATGGAGCATCAGGCCAACCTCTCCAGGGCAGAGTTTTTCATCGCGAGTCAACTCTTACTTATTTAAAAAGCGATTTCCTTAAGCACATAATTATATGTTTATTTCCCTAAGGAACTCTTGAGGCAGAGGAGACCTGCTTAAATTATGGGGAGGGAGGCTGCACACAGGGCTTTAATGGGGTTAGAAAAATTTTCTGTCTCCTTCAAAGGCGGTTTGGGAGGAAGGGAAGGGCAGATTCCGCTCCAGTGCAGATGATGCAGGGAGGATGGAGCCAGAGAGGAAGGGAGGGCAGAGACGACGAGGGTTATCTCAGAATGGATCAAAGGGGTCCAGCAAGAGGACCAGTCATGACGTTTTCTGCTCTGCCAACTTCACAGGAAAGCAAGCCTGTGAGCACCCACACCCACCCATACTCACCCCTTTAGAGGAGGCTTTGGTTTGCATCAAGACTCAGGATGCAGCATGCTGTCGGGGCAGGAGAGGGTGGGAGCCAGTGCCATTTCTCCTTCCTCCCTTACACCCCGAATGCATGGGACTGTGGGTTTCTCCTCTTTGGGTGGGTATCCTCACCTGGGTGGGCAAGGTGGAGACTAAGAAAATAAAGTGGAGGAATTAAACCCTTGGATTTAACACACAGAAGAAAACTGGTGTGTGCGTGTGTGCATCTTATAGTTTTTCTCTTGGTGAGATTTCAGCCGATATACCTTCTGTGCAAGGGTGTGTTGGATAATGTTGAGTTGTGTGTGTGGTAGTGAGAAGGAGAAATAGTGAGGAGAGGTGGCTTAGTCCTGCTCTAGTCTAGGCTTCAAGGGATAGGGTCTGGGGGAAGGGGACCTTGACTACTCTCTCCCCTATGTCTCACAGACTTGGAAATAATAGGCATGGTTTCCAGTATCTAGAAACTGCTTTGATTGGGCTCTATCTGTGCCCATCTTCTCAGGAGCTGAGAGCTTCTGAGAGCAGGACTCATGCCTCATTCTGCTGGGAGCCTCCACATCTAACAGGGCCTGGTACCTGCAGATACTCCATATGTACTTCATGATGAATTTTACCTTATTCAGTCCAGCCTGCCACAGTAGAAGAGAGAATAGGGGTTCAAGCAGATATTATAGTAAAAAGTGTCCATTTGGTTAATGTATACTGCTCATCCCATCTCTTAGAAGTCAAGTGTGGCATTGATAGCAGGATGGGGTCCAAAAGAGGAGAAATGAAGACATCATCTGAGAAACATGATCAAGATTCATAGCCCCAGAGCTCTTTATTTATCAAATATCCACTGTGCATATTCACCCAAACTGCTTGTTCTAGCATTCATTGACCTGAGGTTGGGGCAGCATGATGGGCTACAAGTCCCATAGGAGCTGAGCAACACCCGAGGCTGGCAGAAAACGCCAACTCCAGGGGAGATGGAGATAGTGACCATCTATAAATAGGACATCCAGGCCTGCTTTGCTCTGAGAAGAGCCAAGCTGACATATGGGGGGCAGGTTGGCCTAGACTGAGAGGTTACATCAACAGGGCGCTTGCCTGCGAGTGACAGAGACCTGGGGATACTGGGAAGCTGGGCTGCCAGGAATTTGCATCCTTTCATTGACCAGTTCCCTGGAAACCATAGCCAATATCACAGGGAATGGACATACAGCATTTCAGCATCTTTAAGAAGATGTGTGTTGCAGTCCTGGCCCATCCTTCTTCTTTCTAGAAGTGTGACCTTGGGCCTGAGCTTTAGCTACCTCATCCAAAGAACAGGGGGGATCTTTGCCTTTCTTATCCTGCAGGGCTAGCATGAAGTTCAAATAAGTTGATTTGTGAGAGCGCTTGGTCAAGTGCTATGCAGGGTGAGCTGGTTCTGATAAGTTATTTATTCAAGGAAGCAGCACACTTCTTCCCCTTTCAATGGGGCCCCAGCCACCCTGTCAATCAGGACCTGCCTCGAGGAAGGGAGATTTCAGTTCAGTGGGAGCCAAAGGAAGCCGGAGGGCTCAATACTTAGACCACTTCCCTTTGTCTCTGACCCCATTTTCCACACAGGGCCTGGCAGAAGAGTGCTGAGACCCCTTATTTAGTTCTCTGGTAGAACTGGAAGACTGCTTTCTCTTGCTCGTAGGTCTCGATGGAGCCAGGTCGCAGGCGCCGGACTTCCGTGATGGCATCTCCTGCAGCCAAGCCTCGCTCCTTCACCAGGTAACAGGCCAGCATGGTGCCAGTGCGCCCAAATCCCAGGGCACAGTGCACTGCCACAGCCTGTGAAGAGCGAGCTCTATGGGGTGGTGCTTGATGTCTTCCCCAATACTTTCCTGCCCCCATTGAGTAGGACCCTTCTCCCTCTAAGTCTCAGACCCTCTGTGAGCAAGAAGAGACATCAAAGTTATTATGGAAGGGTGTCCTTGTACCTGGGTGGCTCTGAAGTGGCTGGTTCCAGAGATGGGCTCCTTACCTGCTTCTCTATACCCCTCTGCCTATGTTGTCCAACACAGAAGCCACCAGCCACCGGTGGCTACTGAATACTTGAAATGTGGCCAGTCCAAATTGAGATGGGATATAAAACATATATCAGGGTTTAAAGATGCAGCAGGAAAAAGAATGGAAATATTATGAATTATTTTATATCGATTATATTTTGAGATAATATTTTTGACTTACTGGTCAATGTTAACAAAATTAATATCACCTGCTTTATTTTGCTTTTTTTTTTTTGGCAGTATTGGGGATTGAACCCAGGGGTGCTCTATCCCGGAGTTATATCCCCAGCCCTTCAAATATTTATATTGAGGCAGCGTCTCACTAAGTTGCCAAGGCTGGTCTCAAACTTGAGATCCTCCTGCCTTAGGCCTCCTGAGTAGCTGGGAACATTTTTTTTTTTTTTGCAACTTAGTGAGATCCGATCTCAAAAATAAAAAAATATATAAAGTATTGGAGATGTAGCTCAGTGGTAGAATGTATCTGGGTTCAATCTGCAGCACTGCAAAATAAATGAATAAATATATAAATAAATAAACAGCAGATGAAATTAATTTTGGTAATATTAACCCAGTAAATAAAAATATATTTTAATAATGTGGATGCTAAACATTTAAAATTACAGATGTGTCTTCATTATATTTGGACAGCACTGTTCTAAAAAAGGGCAAACGGTGCTAGCTTCAACCCCCACGTATCCCAAGGAGGCTCATCAGTCTCCTTCTCCCCTCCCCAGAGTGATTGGTTCCTGGTGACTTCTCTGTCCTCAAGGGCAGTTCACACCGCTCGGCTCTCTTTACTCCTCCCATTTAGGCCCTGCCCCTCTCAGCCTGGCTTTTTGTCTGACTGCGCCGGGAGTCTCCTGGCCCCGGGGTCTTATCTCTGGCTCCGCCCTCGTCCCCAGCAGACCGCTTCCCTCCCCGCGCTGACCCTGTCCCCACTGACCTCTCCCCGGCCGTTGGCCTCGTCCACGATCTTCACGAAGCGGTCGATTTGGTCGGGGGCCGGAGGGCAGAAGTCTGGGATGCGAAATCGGTGCAGCGTGAGGTCCGGACAGCTGTCGCTGTGGGGAGGCCCGCGCTCCGTTAGGGACACCAGGTGCCGCACGCCCGAGTCCAACAGGAACTGGTAGTGGGCGGGGAGCCGCGGCAGCGCCAGCCCCGCCAGCCGGCCCGGGAGCACCCAGGAAAAGTTGGGGGGCTGCACGCCCATCGCTGGGGAAGGGCACGGGGCAGCGGGTCACCAGGGGCTATGCCGGCCCTTCTGGCTCCGCCCTCTGGTCGCGAGCCCTCCAGGGACCGAGTAATCCGCCACCTGCCGGGAACTAGCGCCAGGAGGGGCCACGTGGTCCGCGGGGCACCGCCCCCCGGTGACGTTCCCCTCTGCGGAGGAGGATTGGCCCAGCCGCGGGGGCGGGGGCTGGACTGCTAACCCGGCTCCTCCCGTCCGCGCAGCGGCCCAGACGGAGCAGAGCATTGACGGGTTGGGTGTTCTGCAACGGCGGGCTGGCTGCAGCCGTGCGCAACTCGGACGACCAGGGAGAAAATCAGGGGGCTGGGGTGGGGGCTCAGTGGTGGAGCGCTTGCCTGGGGTGAGGTCCTGGATTCGATCCTCGGCACCACAAATAAATAAATAACTAAAAAATCCATTGACAACTACGTGCATATAAAAAGAAGAAAACCTAGAACAAATTAATTGCTTTCTGTAAATGAAGCAACCCGGGGTCAGGCTCTGCTGCTCCCTGGTGGTGCTTTGGGGTTACTGCACCGCTGGCTACCTGCCCCTGCCTCCTTAAGGACACGACCTCGACTTACTTTCCCTTTTATTATGATTATTTTTCTTTTATTAGTGCATCATAGTTCTATATAATAGTTGGGCTCATTTTGACAAAATCGTACATGTTCGGAATTTAATATACTCCGTTCAGTCCCCGTACCCTCCCCGCTTTCCTTCTCCTCCCTCTCCCTATTTTCCTTCATGATTGGTGCTTTATAGATGCACATGGAGGTGGAATTTACTGTGGTTTATTTGTACATGCACATAGCGTAATTTCGTCAAATTCATTCTGCATTTTCTCCCTTTTCCCATCCCTCCTCCCTCTCTCTCAATCTCCTTTTACTCCACTGATCTTCCCTATATCTTTGTTATATCCGAACCCCCTTCCCCTTTTCTCTCTCTAGCTTCTGCATATGAGAAAACGTTCAAATTTTGATTTTCTGGGTCTGGTTTATTTCACTTAGCATGATATGCTCCAGTTCCATCCATGGGACTTAGTTTCTTTACAGCACATGCTCAAGGGTTTAAGAGATGACACATCTACTTCTGGTCTGGGGAGGACTCACTGCTCCAATGACTGATGAGTCATTGTCAGAGACTTCTTGGAACTCTCCCAGTAAAAGGGAATTAACTCAAGGGTGGCTGGGCTGCCAAGTGACACTCTGACATCTTACCCAGGGCAATATAGTAATAATAACACCAGCCAGGAACATAAGAATTAACATTTATTGAGGATTTACTATGTGACAATTACTCTCCTCAGCTTTAGGTATCTTAACTCATTTAGTTGCCACAATTTTAAGTGATCTAATCAGCCCAATTTTACAGATGAGAAAACAAAGTCACTGTGAGATTAAGGAAGATGACCAGTATAGAATATTTAAAAACACAATACTGCTTTCTAAAACGAAGCAGGAAATATGTCCTTTTCATATAATCCATCCAAACACACCTCCAAACATTCTCTGGTTTAAATACCTGTGGGTGTTCTTAAGTTTTATTCAGAATCCATATTTCTTCATATTTTAAGGTTTCCAGGTACCCTATCCTGGGCAAACCAAAGATTATCAGTATTGTTCTTATGGGGTGGTGACCTAGATCTGAACATGGTATCTCAGCTAGCATTTGAACAGTTTATATTTTCTTTTGAATGATGGGCTTCTCATGATGCAGACTACCCATAAATATGAAAAAGTTAATCCACTTTTAATTTGCTCATGAACCAGGTCCTGTGCCAGTTGCTTTCTGGAAGAAGCACACAGGGACGGTATTTGTTCATATTCTTTGTGTATGAATAACTTGAGGCTTAGAGACGTTGGTTAACTTGGCCAAGGACACGTTGATCCAAGCCCAGGGTACTTGGCCATGGAAATGTACTTCCCGCCCTCTGCCCCGCCTATTCTTGACACACACATTTGACCAGTTAGTCCTCTGGCTCTGGCAAAATGAAAAGGATGTCTCCTTCCCCAAAGTTCAAAGTTTGCTGTGACTCAGTGGAAAATACACTTCACCATTTATCCGGACAACCACTCTCTCAGATTCCAGGAGCTGCCAGATCTCCCCTTTTCTCTCCTTCCATACAATCAGGGCCTGATTAAGCCCTTCCTGTTTGCACTCCCATTTCCTACAAAACTCCCTACCAATCTTTCTAGCCTGCCCAATTCATTCATTTTCCTCCTTCCCCCTGTGGCCTGTGCTCCTGTGCCCCTCCTTGCCCCCTTGATATCCAGCTCAAAGTCTGTCTTCTCCAGAGGAAAGCCATTTTTGGGGGGGAGGAGGGAGATGGAGGGACAGAGATTCTCTTTTTCCCTGTCCTGCAAACAATTACCTTCCATCTTATGTGACTCTTTGTGGTGCTAGAAACACCGCCACCCAGCTGCCAGTGCCTCCCTACAGAAAGGCCAGTTAGCGCCCAGTTTAGGAATTCTTTCCTCCTCCTTCCAATACACCCATGGGTATATCCCAGAGTCCCTGTCGGAACTATGTCCCATGGTCAGGTTCCCATTAACTTTTTCCTTCGCCCTGGGGAGTCTTAAACTTGAAGGAAAACGCTCTTTGATCATTTAATGGCCAGGACCTCTGCAGCTAACAATGTATTATAAATGTCACACCCATACATAATACGACCTTCTTACCCTCTCTCCTCTGCGTAGGGTCACCTGATCCTCAGGAAGGTTTAGACTCTCTATCCCACCTTGTCTTGTATAAAGGTCCTCCCAGGATGGTAAGTATTATTTCACTGGTGGTGGGGGCCGGTTACCTGCTTGCACAGGAGACAAAACTTCCACACACATCTTTTAGTTCCCCCATAAAGTGTGGAGCCTGATACATAGTGCTCAAAAATGTTAAATAACAAATGAGAATAAATAAGTAAGTAGAATGCATTGGCAAGACTGTGAATGTACATTTCTGAGTGTGAATGTGCGTCTCGAGCACAACGTGGTTCCTTTTGATTGCATGAGTTCAAGGACTGTGTTAAGTATCGGGCAGCACCTCTTTGAGGTGTGCATTTTAACATGTCAGTATGATCCTGGCTGAGACCAGTTACTTTGTAAAAAGGGATAAATAAGCCTTTTTGATTTAATTTAATTTATTTTAAATCAAGCATTGGTCCATGGTGTGTATGTGTGGGACGGCCTGTGGTCTCTGTGTGTATGTGAATGTGTTGGGGGACATATTCCTGGAGAACAATTTGTTGACACTGATGATGGGTTTAGTAATAAGCTTAAGTGATTTCTCTGACTTCAAGGAATTTACAACATACTTGGAGGGAGGGGATTTAGACTCAGATATAATTATTCCTGGAACATGTAATAAGGACTAACTTGCTCATCAAAGCAATTGTCACTATCTGGAAATCAGATAATATATATTAAAAAGCTAATTGTGCAGTAAAAATAACAAGCATGACAAGAAGTCAGTAGGGGGAAAGATAAGCTTGGGTTGGAAAGATCAGAAGTCTTCTGAAGATGGGATCTTCATTTCCCATTTTGTTCTCTGTCCGTTGAAAAGCTCAATGGAACAGTTTTGGGGCTTTCTTAGCTTCCCCTTCACCAGCCGATAAGAATGTTTTGACCTAGTCCTGGTTCATGTTGAGGCCCCAGATCTCTAACAGGTTTGAGATGAAGTTAGACGCAGAGGCCGCCTTTCTCCAGATAGGACCCGGTGTCCAAGGTGGAGGATTGCTTCAATCTGGGTTCCTGTGGTCCTTGGACTAGAGTCAGAATTCTGTGTTCTGCATGTTCTGATTTTTCTGTGTCTAAACACATTTCCCTGGGGCCCAAATGATCTGGAAATTAGACCTAAGGAGAAGAAATGGAGCCTCAAAGGTGGCTCCCAATGAGCATCTCATGTGTTTCCCACATGGATAGGGCCAGATTCTGTAACCAGCAGGGTATCATGGATATAATAGCACATGACTTCCTAGGTTGGGTCATAAAAGACTTTGGTTTTTATATCTTGTTCTCTCTTGGGAAGAGCTGCCATGGGAAACTCTTGGGAGGAAGCCACCTTCCATGTTGTGCAGACATGGAGATATCTCTGCAGCGAGGAGCTGAACAAAGCTTCTTTCCAACAGTCAATGGTGAGTTAACTATTTTAGCAGTGGATCCTTTAGCCCCATCAAGATTTTTAGATGATGGGCGCAACATCTTGTTTACAATTATAATGTCATGGATTCCCAGAGTCAGAACCACTCAGCTAAGCTTTTCCTCAGTTCCTTTCTCCCAGAAATGGTGAGATAACACATACTTATTGTTTTAAGCAATCAATTTTTGGGGTAATTTGTTATTAGCAATAGGTATCTAATGCAGATAAAAATATCCAGTTTGAAGGAAAGAAGAGAAATAAATCTCAATACACTCAAGAAGTGAAATAAAACACAGACAAGTTTAATTTAACCAAAAGGAGTTACACTATAAGCAAATTATGGTCATAGTGTGGGCGTGTGTGCGCGTGTGTGATGTTTGTGTGTGTTTGTGTGGAGTGTTGTGATGGGTCAATGCAAATTTTCCACATCTGGAAAACCTCGATATGTAGAGGAACCAACCAGTGTAATTTCAGTATGAGTTTTCTTTCTTCTTTTCTTTTTTTTTTTGTGTGTATGGTGTTGGAGGTAAAGATCTATATGGTATTCCATATGGTTAGCAAAGATACACAGATTATTTAATAACTGGTCATGGAATAGGAAGAGAACAATTAGAACACAGGCTTTACCAATCAGAACGGTATCTATGAAGGAATAATGGAGCTCCCTCGTCTGTTGGATGCACGTTGGCCTTGGGTGTAGAGGTTCTGAAATGGGAGGGTGTGGCCAGATCACCTTGGGCATTTTAATATAGGTCTTTCCACAAGATGGCACTGATAGCTTTTTGTTGTTTCCCTCTCTCTTTTTCTATCTTGTTGAATAATGTGTGATTTGTCTATGGTTACAGAATGTTCCATAACTGAGATCTCACAATTACTAGTTGATTTTTTTTTTTTTTGTACTTTTCACAATTTCACCTTTAGGGCACTTACAGTCATTCCAGGAGTGCACTGAAACTGT